AAAATACAATACTCGCCAGCAGTGTGAAGTAGGCAAACCACTGCTCATGGTGGACTACTTAGACAGCATATTACCCCCACTTACAATAGTGCCCAATGTATTTATGAGGATTGGGACATACCCATTAGTGTTCATGTATCTAACAATCACAAAGGGCTAAATGTGAAAAAAAAAGCCGCCATAATAAATTCAAATCCTTCCCTTATATCTATCCAAGAATTCAATGAAGCACTTTCTAAACTCAAGAACTCTTATGAAGATCAACAAGCTGAATACACCCAGGAAAAAATTTGGCTCATCAACTCTGCTGCTGCTAACACTGCTCTTGCTTGGAAAACAGTCAATGAGATTGGTGGCAGAAAATCAACAAACAAATCCAGGTCAAAAGGCCAATAGTCAGGTTGAAAGACTGAATAAATGGCAAGACTAGACTTATGATAATAGCACATCAGATTCACCTTTGGAATGAAGACAGCTGTTATCTTGTTGATATTCACATTTGTAAAAAGGAGGCTGCTCTTTACATTTTAAGTATAACCATGATTTTCCGATTACAAATGTTTCTAGAAAAGAAATATAAAATATGTCCCGAAGACTATGTCATGGCTTTATTTTTATTTCTTCAGTCTATCAGCAACATTATGTCTAGAATAGTTTGAAAAGATTTTCATGCACTTAAAAAGTCATTTTATACACAGGCATATCTGGTAAAAGATGTTATGAGTCTTACCTGAGACAAAAGTCAATTTTATTTTGATACAAGACTGATTCCTAATGGTTTCAGTAACTGAGTTGTTTGTATAAACCCTTAATTGATTTATTGACAAATATGAGAAAATCAATGCCAAACTTAACACCAAAGAGAAAAAAAAATATAAAAGGTTCAGTTTGAAATCCTCTGAAGGCTACCCAAACTCACACATTTGAAGAAGGCTAGAGGGCATAATGAAGAAAGGGTTGTGATAATAACAACAAAGATGAAGACAATAGTCTGAATGTAAATAATAACTTATTCCATAAATTATCCAACAGAAAGTTTTGTAGCATTTCAGTGAAGCAAAAAAGTCTTACAAGTCTGCCAAAAGTCATTCTTAAACATTTGCTAACAATAGCATTTATTCCTTTCTGGGTAAAGGGCATTCCAATAACTTGGACCCATTTTATATGTGAATTAAGTTTAAGCGTCTAATGATTTTTTCTTTTTCTTTCAGATTTAACAACTTAAGTCTTTGGTAATTTTAACCATGGAAAGATTAACAATCAAAGAATGTGTTAAAGTTTCAAGAGTGCAATTGGAAAAATTGTTCATAAATTCAAACAAACTGGGTCGGTGGCAGATGTGAAAACACCATTGCGTGCTTGTTTATGCTGTTCAGCTGAAAACGTTGCTGCAGTGCATGAGAATGTGGCCAAAAATTCAGACTCCTCTATTCGTCATCGTGCGCAGGAATTGAACCTCTCCACATTGCTCTATTGCCTTGGGGTGAAATGATAATAAAAAACCCAAAAATCAACTTTTCTTCAAACTATGAAATTCTATACTTTAGATTAAGTGGAAAATTGATCAGAAATTGCTTAGAAAATTTACAGAAGAACATTTTGACCAAAAATGCAATCAATTTTAAATAAATTCTTTCAAACAGATATCAGTTGACAAATTCTTCTAGGCCATTGAAATCTATTGATTACAATCAATACCAATTTCATCTGAAAGATTTTTTTTTTTTAATTTAACATGTGCAGGGAAGTGTTTCCTATATATTGTCCAAAGTTTTCTAGACAAAATTGATGATGAGCAATCACTCATTTTAATTGGAGAACATTTAATAGTTCTATTGTGAAAGGAAAAAGCAGTTATTCTCTCTAAATGGCAATTGAGTAGTGAAAATGGCGGCATGAGATTCAGAAAGAAGAACATGAAGAAACAGACTGAAGATGTCTTTTTTTTTTGTTTTTTTCTTTATGCCAGGTATAAAAAAATGTTTCAATCTTATTTCTGTCTGCTGAACATAAATGAGAAAGGGCAGAGAACTCTAAAAGAATTCTCACAGTATTGTCCATAATGAGACAGTGAATTTAATTTTGATTAGCAAAATTCTCTAATACATTAATTATCAGTGAGGAAAATAAGTGGCAGTAATCTATTTAAGAGCAATAGTTTAATATTAGGCATAATAGAAATGCTATGCAATTTCTACTGGAGTTTAATTTCAGTAGCATCTTCAGTCTTGTGGGTGATGAATTATTTTCCACTCTACAACCTCTAACCTACAGACAAAATATCATAAGCCTCTTGTGATATCACTATTTCCATGGCAAATGTTCTGATAAGCTATATTTCATAGTTCCACCAGCCCTGAGCTTCACAGAGAAGACCCACCATTCCATGTACACTGGAATGAATTATCCCCATCCCCTTTGTATTCCATTAGTAAGAAAGAAGTTCCATTCAGATAGCTTTTTCCTAAGAACTGCTCTTTCATGGAACAGACTCCTGAGAAGTTGTTTCCCTAATCACTACAATGTTAACCTCTTTAAGTCAAGAGTTAACTGATATCTTTCCTATATATCTTCTTAAATGACACTCCTTACTTCCTCCTCTAGTTGCAGTAAGTTTAATTAGTAACTCTCCATCTTGAATGGCTCATGGGCCTTGTATTATGTGAACAATTAGTAAAAAAAAAAAAAAAATGTGAACATATGTGACATTTCTTTTTTTAAGAATTTCACTTGTGAGTTTTTTCAGACTGCTACTAATGGATGGGTGTTTCTGTTGAGAACACCATTTCAAGGCAAATTGCAAACCAAGACTAAACTAGATCCAGCAGCAAGGTCTCTGATCGGAAGATTGGGGGTTTTGAGGAGCACCTCTTACCTGCTGTTGTTCCCAGGTCCACTCTGACCTGGGGTGGTAGCACCTATTAGGGTCTAAGCTATGGGCAAATAGTCAACATCCAAACAAAGATCAATAATACATTTTTATAATAAAATGAGCAACAAGATATTTTTATAGCAAAAGAACAATCATTGCAACATTTAAAAAAAAAACTGATTTCAAAAATATAATTTAAAAAAAACAAAAGGTAACCATAACTAAAAGAAGTCTTAGTATTTAAAAAAAATGTTTTGACTAATTAAATACAAGGCTTTTTTTTAGAAAGACATGAAATTTTGGCATTAAATGAACCAATGGGTTGTTAGGCTGTAAAACAAACCAAACCAAAATCATTTAAATTTACTTGAAAAGATTTTGTTTATGTCTTTTAGAAAAGAAGCCATCTTTATATTATAAAGATTTATCCACTAAATAGAGAATAAGCAATGTTTAATTTGTTCCATTCAGTTATTTTCTTGTGTCTGATAATTTCTTTTTTAATCATTTCACTTCAGGCAATTGTGGGAGTGCCACTAGTATGCAGGCAGTTACAGAAAGTGAGAGAAAAGACTGGTACAGTGGGGATTGAGGAAAGGATAAAAGATAAACCAGATTCAAGAAGACTGAAGATGGTGATTGACATTGCATTTAAATTTTTGAAGATTGTGGTTATCAGGGAGTTCCACTATTGGATAGTGAGAGAAAAAAAACTGTTGGAGTAGAAGTGGCAGTTACATTTAATTATTTCAACAGTAAAATGAGTGGGACCTATATGCCAATCTGGTAGCACGTATAAATTCACGTAGTCGGGGCACCAGGGAAAAAAGCTTGTCAGAGCAGTTGCCATGAAAATATTTGTAGAAAAGACAGAGGGAAGTCACATCACGTTGGCAAGAAAGTGATGGAAGTCAAGATGCCAAGTCAGGATCGATTACATTGCAGATCCTTCTTTGGATTTTCTCAAGAACATCGGGGCATCAAACCAGATACAGCAACAGTATTAAATGCATGGATGAATAGTAGATTTGTAAATGCACAAGATAGACTCTGACAAGAAAAACCTTCTGGCATGACACAATGAACCAACTTGCAGTAGATGCAGCTATTGATTCAATGTAGCTCTTCCCCTTCAAGTCAATTGAAAATGTGAGGCCAAGGTGCAGTGAGATGCTCTCCTGGAGTCAAGCACAGCCATGCAGATAGCAGGCAGGGAAGTTTCTCTGTGGTGTTAAACGAGAGCAATTTAATTTTGGAGGCATTAAAATTTACAAGTCATTTTCTGCCCCACTTAAACAATGATTGGAGGTCCTTTTTATGAGCAGTGTTATCACCATAAATACCTACTTGAGAATTGATGTCATCAAGAAGATCATTGATGAAGATCAGAAACAGTGTAGGAGCCAGGATAGAGCCTTGGGGGGACACCTGCATTCATGTGAAAGGATCTGGAAGTAGGGCCATTGTAGGAGGGGGGTGTTAAGTTACATTTAATCATTGTTTGACTAACTATATCTACTTGTTACAACTACTGCAACTTAAAATTTTTTAATACTTTGTGCTGACTCCATCAATTTACTTGTGAAAACTGAAGGCGCCAGTGGTACCAAATTAATTTGGGATGAAACTAAGAATTTGCAAGAAATTTCTAACTCCCCACCCTAGTTATTAGACTCCACTTATTTATTAGACATATGAAAGGATGGAGTACAAGAAATACATGAAATATATGAATATAGAAAGCATTAATACAATATAGGTCTGTAGAGAAACTAGGCAAAATATCACTGAACAGTTTAAAAAGAAAAAATATTTATGAACAAGTGTTTGTACATTAGAGGAATGGATATACAATGCTGCAATATCTCAGGTTCCATGGCTAATTTATGTTGAAAACTAGTCCTAGACAAAGTTAGTACAGGGGTGGTACAGAATGTAAAAATGGACTAAAAGTGGCATTTTGAGCACACACACGTCTTGAAGTTGAAACATAATTCATTGCATATAATGTGATGACGGATAATGTTCCAAAAATGTATGTGGTAAAATCCATTTGGCAACATTTAGTTTAGGTTCCATATGTATTGTAAAGAGTAAAGCAGAAGTTTAAATTTGTTTCATAACTTACGCATGTCTGAATAATCATCGACCAAAATGATTTCCTTTAGAAGGTGGGGAGGTGAGCGGTCAATGATGCTATGAACTGTCCGCAGGAGAACTGACCAAGCTTCGTTGTGGAAACACACAATCACACTGGTATCTGGCAAGTTGTCATGGTATACAATACTTTTGCATCTGAAAAAAATAAAAAATAAAAAAAAAATTGTTTTTTTACCGAAAACAGAAATTTTAGCCTTAATTCGTCTTCTTATAATTGACTTGTTTGTATCAAAGATGGAGTTGACAAAAATAAAGTTACATTGGATGAAATCAGAAAAAAAAAAAAAAAATTTAATGCAAATGACATGTTACTTTAAACATTCTGAAACTCAGCTGTTAAAGATTGACTGATTAAGCCTTAAAGATGATAAAGAAACTAGAACTAGTGAAATGCTCAGAATAATCTAAGAGAGATATAAAGAAGATGTTAAATCTTGAAAAAAAGAAAAAAGAAGCAAAAAAAAAAACAAAATTTTTAAACTATAATAATCAATAATCTATATCTATAATTCTTAAAATATATGTGTGTGTATGTGTGATTGGATGTTTATGCATTTCCATAATTTTCATCCGATTTTGATGAAATTTTTTTGTTTGATAGATAATTCTTCAGTGCCAGTTTTGAGTCCAAATTGTTGGTGACAATGGCTCTCCCCTACTTTCTGTCCATCATAACTCTAAGTAACGTTTTACTATTTATTATGTGTTCTTGGATATATATCTTTCATAAAAACATTGTTAAATTTCGTGCTAATAGGAACATATACCTGAAAAACCAGGTGGATAAAATAAGTAAAGGTTTATTGCAAAAAACCAGTACAATATGAATAAAGGTAACAGTTATGCACAAGGTCATCGCAAGTCAAGCCAGTAGTGAGTGCTACTATTGGAAGGTTGGTAGTTCTCATGTAAGTCTGAGTCGTACTCAGCAGATCCCAGCTAGTGTATTTACTAACCTCCCCATGCGATCAGATGTGGCACAAGGCTGAATTTAATGTGGGGCATCTGAGCCTGTGGGCTCAACCAAAAATTCCCATAGAACCCGTGTAAAACAGGGTTGGGTAGCTGTTTCCTGAGATGAGACTCTGCCTTTTGGCATAGTCTCGTCTGGGGATTCTCTTTGCTCAGAGGCAGAGAGTTCAGTCAGTACAGCTGAAAAAGATTTCAGATAGTATATTTAGCCACCCCACCAAGAGGGTTGCATGTGGCACAAGGCCGGGTTTGATGTGGGATCTCCGAGCCCATATGCTCGGCAAAAATATTTACTTTCGAACCCGTATAAACAGGTTCAGGGTCAGTCAACCTCCCCGAATGAGACTCTGCCCTTCGGCGGAGCCTCATCCAGGTTTCTCTCTACCCAAAGGAAGAGAGTTTAACCAAAAAGATTTTGGCTAGTCTCTGTAGTCAGTTGACATACAGCTACTTATAGGTAATTACTACCTAAAGTGTAGTCACTCATGGAAGTGACAGGTTATTCCATTACATCACTTTAATATAAATAAATAGTTTAAATTATTACAATATTATTTATTATTATAAATTTCCCTTTTCAGCACCCACTTCAAATTGTTAAGCCCATTTGGGGATGTGCCTCAGTTGCACCCAATTGTTGTTACTAATATTGATTTTCGGGTGGGCTGACTTTAAACTTAAACTGCTCCAACTGAACGACAAAAATTTGAGTAATGAAAGACCCAGTTGAATACTGCCAGTCTGTCTATATTTCTGATATAAGGTATTGTAACTATTTGTACTTTTAACATTGTCTGGACTGTTGCTGTCATCTTTATTGCCATATTCATGATATTTTGATTGTTATATACACTGGCCTTCTTCAGGTGACACTTGTTGAAATTTTGAACTAAACCCTTTATTTCATCTACAGGGATAGATTGTTCTAATTCCATATCTCTATCAAGTTAATTTTGGATCAATCAACCAACATTTTTATCCACTTCATGTGTCTTTGGGGAAATTAGTGAATGAATTTTTGGGAATTATAAACCTAATATCTCAAGTATAAAAATACCTGTTATTGTTTCAGAAACACTAATATGAATATCTCTAAATGGTAATGGCAATACTATTCATTTCATTATAAGAAACATTTGCCATTCAGTCCTACTTTCAGTTTAAATTTATCAAAATCTTTCAATCAAAACAATATTTCATGAAAACAGGTTTCTCAAGTCCAGTAACTATTATTGCTCTTTACAGTATTGATAAGGGTTTCTTTTATAAGTAATGTGGAATTTCAACATCTTGATTATGTCATCATTATTTTCTCTTTGAGTTACATGTGCTATCCATTTTAGTTGCTGCAGCTGTTGAAAAACCTCAATGACATGGTTGTCAATCAGTCTGGGAGGAGGACATCTTTGAATTCAAAACTGTGGAGAACATAATGGAAACCCACTCCACTATATTTTCCACAAGGTCATAGCAATTTGCAGATAATAAAGAAAAGGAATCTGTGGACAAGGCAACAGGAAACCACCCCACTATCTTTTCCAAGAGGTCATGGCAATTTGCAGATAATAAAAAGGAATCGGAAGGTACATCGTATTTAAAAAGTTACTTACTAAGAACTGTACAATAACCTGCGAATTATAATAAAAAGTAACAGAAATAAATTTAAATTAATACTTGTGATTAAAATGGACAAATTGTCTGTTGTAATAATAAATTTCTGTTTTAATCTTAATGCTTAAATTCACTAATTTTAATCACAATCTTCAAATTCTGTATCCCTTTTAAAACTTTTAAATATTGTGTTTTAATTACTATTACCAAATTCTGTACCCCTTTAAAATATTTAATTACTACTTTAATCACAATTATTAAATTCTTTATTCATTTAAAAATATTTAAATATTTGCTACTCAGCTAAACCATTGATTTAATTTGTGAAGTTAAATGTTATTTTCAAAATTTTGAGCTAAGATCCTGATTGCTCACTCCAACAAAGTTTATTGAATAGTACTACAAAATATGGAAAAATATATCAAGTTTTTACTTCATAGAGAATGCATGATTTTGTTTGTACCATAGGACAACAACATTCTGATTAGTGGAATACATTAGCACAAAACTTAAATTTTCAAAGTAGATATTGGCTACTAAAACAAAAATATGTTGACATAAAAGACATGAACCCAGACACTAGATTATCTTTTCCTGTCAATTTGCCTGCCTGACATATTCTTACAAAGTATTCATATCTAATGTCTAAAAATATGCACTAATATTCAATTAAAATATGCACTTGGTGTGTGGACATTTGGGACAGATCTGTATATACACATGATATGTTAATTTAGCAACACGTTTCATAACTGCACTTATTCACTTCTTTTGATTGCACCAGTTGCAAGTATGCACTGAACAATAAAACATTCAGAGCCAGCGGGAACACCACTCTGATACCCCAGCATTAAAAAAAAAAGAAGATAAAAAAATATCAACAAAACAAAACAATAAAAATCAAGAATAAGGTACGAAGATCTTCTAATGAGTTGTTATCTGAGTTTAGAGAAAAAGGGAAAAGAAGATGAAAAAAAAAGATAATAAAGAATAAATGTGTATGAAAAATACTTTCTATCAAAACATAATCAAATGAATATATGAACAAGGATTTACAGCTGCATACAAAACAGTTAATGTAGATGGAAGAAAAGTCTTTATATATAAGATGTACCTGCTGATTTCAAAATGTGAGGACAAATGAGTTATATATGTATATAAATAAGGAGTTCTTTCAAATGTAGTCAGAATCTAATGAATGGTAATGAGGTGTTTCTGCTTTGTACATTTCTCACATTTTGAAATCTTGTTTAAATTTACTGAAGATTACTGAAATGTTATTTAATATTTGTCCTCCTATATGGCAGTGAAAGCTGGACAGTCTCTTCAAAGAAAAAGAAGAGACTTGAGCAACAGGAAATGTTGTTCTACAGGATGCTGACAATTCCATGGACCAAACATGTGAGCAACAACAAAGTTTTAGAGGAAATGGAAAAAAAAGAACACTTATACTTAGCACCAGGAAGAGATAGTTGAAATTTCTATGGCATATAATGAAGAAAAAGGGCTTGGGAAATCTGATACTCACAGGACAGATTGAAGGCAAGAGGAAAACAATGTATAGTAACTACTTAGTAAGTTTTAGTAATTAGATAGCAGAACAATGTTTAAGTGAGATAACAAAAAGAGAAAATTTATTAAGAGCTACAAAGGACAGGAAATTGTGGAGAGCCATGATAACCCATATCCTGAAGGCAAACAGAAGAAGAAGGTTATATATTTTACAGTGAACTGTTCAGTTCTTTAAGAAACTTACTTATTGAAGATATTCTCATAGATATCAAAGTTATTACAAGAGTTGGATAGGTATCCATCAATTATTATATTTTATATTATTAACAATTACTTCAAATGTTATTATAAATGATGCTCATATCTGAAATAGATCATCCATTATAATAATGTCTGAAGTAATAAAAATTTTGCATTAAAAATAAATCCCTTAATTCTTTTAGAAATTCCATTGTTAATTATCAAAAGAGTTTCAACTGGAGATCTAAACAGAAATTTTTTATGGAACTTTTTATTTTGTTGTATTTTTAGGACTAATTCTTTTAATGGTTACCAAAGATACAATATCAAGTCACTTCATATTTATGGGATTTATATATTTTTTTCAAATAAATAAAAAAGAGTAACTGGTCTGAAATTAAACAAAGTCCAATTGTATTCAAATTTTAAATCTCGTAGAACTTAATCAGAAGGTGTCTCGTATAAAAGGATTTCTTAATATATAGGTTTAAAAAAGAACATTTTTATAATAAATATGAAAATATTCATGATGGAAGAGAAAATGAAAATGAAATTAAAAGCTGAAATAATTTTGCATTAAATAATGATATCTGAAAAGTAATATGCTTATTTTGTATATAAAAAAAGAATTATTTTATTTCTGTCTGAATTTCTAGGATAGAAAATTATCATTATTTACAGTTGGACTAATGTCCTCATCTTTTGTTGTTACCATCACAATGTTTCAGTGGTCATGCTTTTCAGCCTTCTTTAGGTGTCTGTCAAGTTGAGTAATCTTCAAGGGAAGTTCAAATTGAACT